GATTTAACTAAGCCGCCGACAGGCACGGTGCCGCGGCCCATCCAGCACCGTATTGAGATAGAGCCTGGCAGTAGAACTCCTAAGGGTGCTGTATATAGGATGTCCCCGCGGGAGTTAGAGGAGCTACGGAAGCAATTGGACGAGCTCCTCGAAAAGGGTTGGATTAGGCCCAGTTCGTCTCCTTTTGGAGCCCCTGTTCTCTTTGCACCTAAGAAAGAGGGAGAGTTGAGGATGTGTATAGACTATAGGGGTCTGAATGCTATTACAGTAAAGAATGATGAGCCACTGCCTAAGATAGACGATCTCTTAGATCGAGTGCAAGGGGCCAAGTACTTCTCTAAGATAGACTTAAAGTCCGGATACCATCAGATAGAGGTACATCCTGATGATCAGTACAAGACAGCCTTCTGGACTAGGTACGGGCACTATGAGTTTATAGTGATGCCCTTTGGACTAACCAATGCGCCAGCTACGTTCCAGCGTTGTATGAACGATTTGTTTAGACCATGGTTAGATAGATTTGTTGTAGTGTACCTAGATGACATTCTAGTGTTTAGTAAGACCCTCCACGAGCATCAGGGTCATCTCAGGCAGGTCTTGGAGAAGCTGAGAGAAGCTAACTTCAAGATCAATGCGAAGAAGTGCGATTGGGCGAAGACCCAAGTTTTGTATCTAGGCCACGTCTTAGACGGAGACGGCGTTAAGCCAAAAGATAGCAAGATCGCAGCGATCAGAGATTGGCCCATGCCACGTACGCTGACAGAGTTGCGCTCGTTCCTGGGCTTAGCAAATTACTACAGGAAGTTCGTGAGAAACTTCTCCACCATCGCTGCGCCCCTTCGCAGATTGCTAAGAAAAGAGACAATCTGGAAGTGGGACAAGGACTGCACGTCTGCCATGAAGAAGCTAAAGCAGGCGTTGATAGAGTACCCGGTCCTTAAGGTCGCCAATCCGTCCTTGCCTTTTGTCGTTATTACGGATGCTAGCCAGTACGGCATAGGCGCAGTGTTACAGCAAGACGATGGCAATGGCTATAGACCCGTAGAGTTCATGTCCGCTAGATTGCCTTTAGAGAAGGTCGCGACATCTACCTACGAGAGGGAACTCTACGCTCTCAGGCAAGCCTTAGACCACTGGAAGCACTACTTGCTTGGGAGGCACTTCAAAGTCTATTCGGACCATGAAACGTTACGATGGTTAAAGACGCAGGCCAAGATGACATCTAAGCTTACTAGGTGGGCCGCAGAGATAGATCAGTACGACTTTGAGCTCAAGCCTGTCAAAGGGAAGTACAACGTAGTCGCGGATGCTCTGAGTAGAAGAGCTGATTATTTTGGGGCAATAGTACATTACCTCGATATAGGAAAGGATCTGCAGCAGCAGGTTAGAGAAGCCTACGCGCAGGACCTATCTATGGTGAGCTCCTTAAGAAAGTCAAGGAGGCCCCAGAGACCGAGCCGAACTACCGCACTACTGAAGGGTTGCTTTTTGAGAAGACTAATGTTTTTGACCGATTGTGCATCCCCAATAGCGAAGAGATCCGCAGTCTGATCCTGGGAGAATGCCATGACACGGAGGGTCATTTTGGTTGGCAAAAGACCTTAGTCAATCTGATGCGCGCGTATACCTGACCAGGGATGAAGGATGACTGCGTAGAGTATGTTCGCAGTTGTAAGGTCTGTCAGCGTAACAAGTCTTCTACGCGTGCCCCGTTAGGTCTTCTTAGACCCTTGCCCATTCCGGATCAGTCGGGAGACTCAGTGTCAATAGATTTCATGGACACTCAAGTCAAGAGCAGGCATGGCAAGAGCCAAGTCATGGTCATAGTTGACCGCTTTAGCAAGTACGCAGTTTTTGTTCCTTTGCCTTCTGAGGCGCGTACTGATTTAGTCATACAGAGGTTCTTTGACTGTTGGGTTAGTGAGAATGGAATCCCGCTGTCTATAGTTAGCGATAGAGATAGTCGCTTTACTARCCAGAACTGGCAAKAACTCATGGGAGTATACGGATCTAAGTTGTTGATGTCGTCCGGCCGCCATCCAGAGACTAACGGTCAGACAGAGCAAATGAACAAGATCCTGCAGCAAGTTCTGCGCATGTATATTAGKCCAGATCAGATTAACTGGGATGAGATGTTGCCTAAAGTAGCTAGTGCGTAYAATAACAGCGTGCATCTAGCCACCTGCCGCACTCCCAACGAACTGCACAAGTCCTTTAGACCGCGCAGACCGTTTGAGGGACTCAACCGAGATCAGATTCAGAGATTGCCGCCCGGGACCCGGGAGTTCGCTGTACAGCACGAGAAAGAACTAGCTACTGTTGTAGAAAACCTCAGGAAAGCCCAGCATAGGATGATAGAACAAGCAAACAAACATCGTCGCCCTTCACAGTTTCAAGTAGGCGACTTAGTCTGGGTTAGTTCGAAAGAGTTTGCACCTGAGGAGAACATCTCGCAGAAGTTACTGCCCACATATAGAGGACCGTGGCATGTTCTGGAAGTCAAGGGCAGCGAAGATGGACCGTCCGACACCATAGAGTTACCAGCACACCTCTACACTTACCTAGTTTTCCACGCATCAAAGTTGTTACCGTGTCAAACGAGTGATCAGTTTCCATCCCGTAGGTCCATGATCCCACCGGATATGGATGGAAGATACGACATTGATGGAATAGTGGCTGAAGATGTATTCAGGACTGGAGGTAGGGGTCGTCCACAGAAACAGTASAAGGTTCACTTTAGTTATCAAGAACCGGAAGACGACCGCTGGTTTACTAGATCTGAACTTCTAGAGACAGCTCCCGACATAGTCCGGGCCTACGAAAGACAGCAGAAAGGTAAAGGTCCTGCCTTGGACTGAAATTTTCTCGGAGGACCTCGAATTTAGGCCGGCGGGAGTGAAACGGTATTCACCAATT